GGATGGCACATGGATGGGACGTGGAGTGGGGCTGGAGGCCATAGTGACAGAGGCAGCAATACTTCTCTGACAGGGCTTTGAACGTCTTCACTTGCCTGTTTTTTTCTCTACAGCGTGGAAATAAAGTTGCTGGGAACCCCTGCCCCATCTGCCGGGATCAGAAGCTGCATGTTGACTTTAGGGTAAGGAGAATCTTGTCTTCAGTATAAAGACTTGGAGTCTGTTTGCAGTGCTAACTACCTTAGGTGCCCCATTCTTCATATCCTGGGCCCCTTAAGTCTATTTTGCATTAATTTTCTGGCAATGTAAAAACATTACTCTTTCCAGCTTTTAGCATTTCTTTATTTACTTATGGCTGTGTTGGGTTTTAGCGGCTGTTCACTGTGGCGAGGGCGTCTCTCTACTTGAGACAAATGGACTTAGTTGCCCCGAGGTATGTGGTATCTTAGATTAAACCCTCATCCCCTGCTTTGGAAGGTAGATTCTTAACCACTGGACCACCAGAGAAGTCCCTCCTTCCAGACTTTTGCCTTCTACTATGGGTTATATTCCCCTGGAGAAGGAAATGGCAACCCACTCCAGTACTCTTGCCTGGGAAATCCCATGGACGGAAGAGCCTGGTAGGCTGCAGTTCATGAGGTTACAAAGAGTCAGATACGACTGAGCGACTTTCACTTCACTTTCATGGGTTATATATAAAAGATTCATCTCTTACTTGTGAAGTTTACAGTCTAAATTGGCAAGAGAAATGCTCATTTCTAATGAGAGGGAAATGCCCAAAGGTTCATTTATATCAATCAGTTACTTTGAGGTAAATTGGACTAGTTTTTTCCTGGGATTTTCTTTATTTTGTTGTCATTGATGTTTGATCGCATGTCAAGACTTGGGCCGGGAGGGCAGATACACAAAACAATGTATAATCTAGTTATTTTTTCAAAAAAAAAAAACAAACCTTCTTTGTGAGGAGGAGAGGACTTGTTTCTTGAAGGATTCAGAAACTATAAAGATGACAGTGGAAAAGTGCTCTTCTGCATTTGCAGTATTAGAAGATAGTAGAGCAGAGACTGGCTGGTCATCAGGGAAGTTGGAGGGCATTCATATGTCAGTCAGCAGAGGCAGGAATCTGGTTGCTTCCAGGCTTTTTCTGATACAGGTTGTAGAGGAGTCCAGGAGATACTTGTCAATTTCAGCTATGTATTACTAGTTACCAAAAAAGGCTCTAATCATTTGATAAAATTTATAAGAAATTACATGACTAAGGGAGAGAGAAAGGTTACAGATGGAATAGTGCAGATGAGTCCACCTGCCATGCACTCTGCCAGTATACCTGCTTTTCCTTTGGGAGTCTCATCACCTGTGATTAATTGCTGGCTAGGAGTCATTCTAACTATTAAATCCCTAAAATTGATCTTAACAAATACAGACATTACATATAACATACCTTCATATAAGTTAGTCACTTACAAACATATAACACATACTACATTTTCTGGGTGATTTCAAGGGTTTGCCACCCCGCTGTCCCTAATTTGTTGCATGAAGAGCTGACTTTTTAACCTGACCCCTGCAGAAGAGAATTCTTTGTGAGTCTCAGTTTCAGAATGTAGGATGTGCATGTGAAATGGTTAAGAGGCCAGGAAAGAGGAAGAGTTTGCAAGAAAATGTGTTCAGTAAAGGGATGGGGCTAAAACTGGGACATGGTGATTAACCTCTAACCATCTTGTTGACTTCCCTTTCCTCTCTTGTTTTTCCACCACTTTTCTCTACAGAACGTGAAGCTCTTAAAACAGTTTGTCTGTGCCCACACGGGTATCATCTACCATGCTCCATATACAGGTGAGCCCATCACCACCAGAACAGCTTTTTCTTATAGCACCTCTTACATTTATTAAGACAGACAGGTATTTCTTCGATGACTCCTACTAATGGCATAAAAAGTGGGATGGGATCTTTTGGAAATCTTGATCTAAAGGGAGTAGTCATATGCTGAATAAATTACATGTGGACGAAAGATCCAGGTGAGTACTAATATAAGCAGACTATTTAAATGGAGCTCTTAAAAGATAAATGGTGCTGATTGTTTCCTTTCTCTAGGGTCTCTTCACTTTTCTGGAAGGCTTTCTCATAAACTGACTGTTCTTTAATGTGATTGACAGTTCAGTTAGAGTTTCCAAATTTGGTATAAGCTCACCAATTCAAGATCACATCTGTTTATTCCCTAACTACAACCACAGGCCAAATCCAGCTCACTCTCGTCCATTTATTTTCATACTGTTTACGACTGCTTCCAGGGTGCAATGGCAGAGTTGAGCTGAGATAGACAATAATACATGCCTAAAATATATGCCACAGTACCTTTGGTGTATGGCCCTGTACAGAAGCAGTTTGCCAACCTCTGTTCCAAAGCAAGATAAATTTGCAAAGAATAATCAGAATCCACCCTTTTAGGGGGTGGTAGCCTGGTCAGTGGAGTTTGGTTTTTCAAGGAGTTGGGTTTTTTTTTCTTTTCGCTGCACGTGCGGCTTGTGGGATTTTAGTTCTCTGACCAAGGGTCAAACCCAAGCCGTCAGCAGTGAGAATGAAGAGCCCTAACCACTGGACCCCCAGGAACTTTCCAGGGAGTTTTAAGAAGAGTTTTATAGTCAAGCTGTAAAAGGCTGAAGGACTATTTTGCCACTTTCTCAGATAATCTTCCCCAGATCTGAAATCCTTTCTTCGTTTATTGAATCTGTCTCTGTGGATTGTCCAAGTTAGCCTTTTAACCACACTTTCCTTTTCTTTTTAATATTTATTTTTATTTGTTTATTGGGTTGTGCCAGGTCTTAGATGTGGCACACAGGATCTTGAGCTTCTAGTTGTGGAATGTGGGATCTATAGTTGCAGCATGAAGGCTCTTAGTTGTGGCATGTGGGATCTAGTTCCCTGACCAGGGATGGAACCCAGGTCCCCCGCATTGGAGTGGGAGTCTTAGCCACTCGGCCACCAGGAAAGTCCCACCACACTTGCCTTTTGAATGGTGTTCTGCTCCCTGTCTTGAAGCCTTTACCATTAAATGGCTTCTCTGTACTGGCCAGACCCTCCTAAGTCTTCATCCTGGTTCTCAGAGAACATTCTTGCCACTGAGCAGAAGGGGAAACCGAGGCTCATGGAGAGGTCAGGGGAATGGGGTCATTAGGTAGAGCTGATCTTCCATAACAAACCCTCAATCACGATAAGGAAGCAGGTGGGTTCTTTATTTACTGTGCCTTACAAAATGAGCTGTGAGTTACCTTTTTTCTCCCCACAGGGGTCTGTATGAAGCAACACAAGAAGTTGACCCAGGCTATCCAGAAAGCCAGGGATCATGGTGAGCATGAGAAGGGGCACAGAGCAGTTTTCTTAGGCATAAGGATAGTGATTTAGGGCTGGAGAGTGGATATAAGTCCTCCCAGCTATCTGAGAAGTAGCACCCAGCATGTTCTCAAGAATCTCTCCTTTCATCATTCCAGAGTCCTTTAGTTTCCTCTCCTGAGTCTCTTATCTTGTCATTGCCCTGTCCCTTCGTTCTTTCTCTGCCTTCTTATTTTATAACTGTTGGTCCCAGTGCCATGGCTAGATCATAAGAACTTTGTATAAATTTTTGACCCTGGGCTCGATGACACTTTTGTACAAGTTAGGAACAGGTAGCCCTCTGTTAGGGTAGATGCAGCTTCCTCACCCTGGCACAGGACTGCACAGCTTGGCAGGCAAGAGCCCAGGCAGCACGTCAGCTCACACTTGCCCCCTTGGCCAGTTACTTTGGGTGGCACACCACATGCATAAATGTACCCAGTGGCTCTGATTGGCCCTTTTCCTCCTTTATATGTTATTTTCCTTATTATCTTTGTTAATCTGAATTACCCTTTCCTCTCCCCTGGCTTTCTCTTTTATTTTTAACCCCCTAGGTCTCCTCAGTTACCACATTCCCCAGGTTGAACCCCGGGACCTTGACTTCAGTACCTCTCATGGAGCTGTGAGTTCTACTCCACCAGCCCCCACTCTGGTTTCTGGTGACCCCTGGTATCCATGGTACTGCTGGAAACAGCCACCAGAGAGAGAGCTGTCCCGCCTTCGCCGGCTCTACCAGGGCCATCTCCGAGAAGAAAGTGGCCCTCCACCTGAGTCAGTGCCCAAGGTGCCACTCAGGGCCCCCACTGAAGCCACCTCCGCTGAGCAGGCGGGCCCCCAGAGTGCCCTGTAGGTGTAGACTGGGACGGGAACCAACGGGTCTCCTACACAATACTTCATCCTGAAGAGTTGTGTCTACTTTGTGGCCAGTGACAAGCTCAATCACCAGAGATGATTGTTGGTGAAAGGGATGAATACTCATGAGGCTGAGGGAGGGCAGTACAGATTTGTATGGGAAACCTCAGTCCCTGCTGTTGTAACTAGATGGGTTATACATTGTTACTATTTCAGACTTGTGCCAGCTGCATTTTCCCACAATAAAGCTGTATCCTGTCTCTGGGCTGAATTTCAAATGAATGCTTTGGGGGGGGTTGGGGTTGGTGAGGGAGTGGGCAGTGGGTGCTGCTGTGGGGAGAGGAGTGGTCAGGTTTAAGCCAACCCTGCCGGTGGGCTCTTGGGACCAGAAGCCACCTGAAATGAGCAGTTGTACCATTCTCTTGATCACTTGTGGCCCCCTATGCCGGAGGCACAGTGTTGTCACTATACCCAGCTGTTCACTGAGGGGCTGAAAGGTTTGGAGAATGAGACATTAGGCCCCAAAAATGCGTTGCTATGGCGCCCGCTGCCGTGGGCGGCGAGGATGGGGTGAGTGCTGTTGCTAAGCGACAGCTGGTCTGGCAAGAAGATTGGGGTCTCCGGGGCCTGCAGCCGCGATACAAGCGAGTGATGGAGGAGGGGAGCGCGGGGAGGGGCGGTCCCCTGGGGACCTGCAGGCGCTGCGGGTAAATACAGATTGCGGTGGGAGGGGCGGAAGTGACGTCGCGTGGGGCGGGTCCGACCGCGCACAATGGGCCATGGAGTTCCCGTTCGATGTGGACGCGCTGCTCCCGGAGCGGATCACGGTGCTGGACCAACACCTAAGGCCCCCGGCCCGCCGACCCGGAACCACAACGCCGGCCCGGTGACATCTCAAATCTTCCCCACGGCCCTTCTCTCCCGGTTCCTCTCGGAACCTGGTCCAGGCACCACGCCCCCTTCTCGCGTTGACTAGTGACCGCTCCTTTTGATGTCCTGGCTCGCCTTTTTGGTGACCTTTGACCCTAGACCTTGTGGGGTTGATCGGGGCTTGAATCTGCCACCTTTCACCGCTTGGCCCAATGTATGGTCCCAGCCGAAGGATATGGTTGACCTGCCCTTTCTGCTTCCCCACAGTAACTTTAAGGGAGAAGGGAGTGTACCACCCTGAAAGGAGGTGTGGCAAAAGTTTGGGTTTCAGAGTATGGTGGGAAATCGGATTGGAAGACTCCAAGATAGAGGGAGGGCGTGAAATACTGACCTGGGGTTATGGCCCAAGTTCCCAGGGAGTGATTGCCCAGGACCCTTTAACTCAGTGACTATCTGACTCATCTCCTCTCTTTCTGTAGTGTTGATCTGCAGCAGCAAATTATGACCATTGTAGATGAGCTGGGCAAGGCCTCTGCTAAGGTACTGGGGAGTCTCCATGCGGTAAAGGGGAGGCCTCTGGGGACAGCTGCTAAGGGAGGCAGGGATCCTTTGGAAGGGACCTGTAGAAAGTCTGTCTTAAAATTCCTGGCAGGCCCAGCATCTTCCTGCTCCCATAACCAGTGCATCCAGGATGCAGAGTAATCGCCACGTTATGTATATACTCAAAGATACTTCAGCTCGACCGTGAGTGCCAAGTGCTCTTCCATCCTGTGCTTAATTCCTTCCTCCCCCAGCCGGTTTCCCTGTTTTGACTTTACCTCTTCCAAATAGGTGCTCACTATTGTTATTTTCTCCATCCTACAGGGCTGGAAAAGGAGCCATTGTTGGCTTTCTTAAAGTTGGATATAAGAAACTCTTTGTACTGGTGAGTGTCATTGGAAACTGAAAATTCATATGCCTTGGCTCCTGAGAACAGAAGTGCTGGAGGTGGCAGCAATGTTTGAGTCCTAGAAGATCTTTTTAAGTTAAAAATTATTATTGGCTGCTCTGGATCTTCATTGCGGTGCATGCTCTTTGTTGCAATGCAGGGGCTTCTCCTAGTTGTGGGGCATGGGCTTCTCTGCTCTGGAACAAAGTTGTGTTGCATGGGCTTGGTTGCCCTGCAGCATGTAGGATCCTAGTTCCCTGACTGGGAATGGAACCCGCATCCCCTGCATTAGAAATCGGATTCTTGACCACTGGACCGCCAGGGAAGTCCCTGGAAAGCCTTTGTTGTTCTTTCACCTCCTAGGATGATCGTGAGGCTCACAATGAGGTAGAACCACTTTGCATCTTGGACTTTTACATCCATGAGTCACTTCAGCGTCACGGCCACGGACGAGAACTCTTCCAGCATATGTTGCAGGTATTGCTTATCTCTTCACCAGCTCTTCCCAGAGGCCTTCAGTCCTCCCAAAGGCCCTGCCTCCCATCCTCCCACCCCCACCATGTTCCCATATCCTTCCCAGGATTCCTGTTGGCCTGCTTTCCCCACACCTCCTCCTACCCTGAGTCTCTTGTTCCCTGCAGAAGGAGCGAGTTGAACCACACCAACTGGCCATTGACAGACCCTCCCAGAAGCTGCTGAAGTTCCTGAATAAACACTACAACCTGGAGACCACCGTCCCACAGGTTAGAAGTTTCAGAGAATAGATACCCACTGAGTGTTCCCACTGAATTTACCTAGTCTTTGGGGGGCAAAGAAGAGACACCTTCCAAGCAGTCCCTAGTCCCCATTGGATAGGAATTCTTTTATACAGCTAAGCTCAGGGGTGGGATCGGGGGATACCATCTCTCATCCTGGAGCTGTTTCATTATCATCTCATCTATTTTTATTCTTCATCCTGGACTGTCGTGTACCCTTAAAAGCATGTTTATACCCCAAACCTAAGTCAGTTCCTTTTCATCTCTTCATTTTCACCTAGGCCATTACTTAGTCAATCAAGATTTAGTAAGGGCTTGGAAAAATATATGTTCCCTATCCACAGAGAGATTTGGTTTATTTGGGGGGAAGGTGGTTTGTTTGTAAGTAGATGCAATATAATGTTGCTAATACTGTCTGTCCATTCCGGATATATTTATTGAGCACCCAGCAGTATTCTGGGCTTTAGGAATACTTGGTTTAATAAAACAGAAAGAAGTCTCTGTTCTTACAGAACTTATATTCTATTTGGGGAGACAAACGTAATAAACAAGTAGATACTCTGGTCGATAAGCACTCTAGGAAAACAAGAACAAGTAAGAAGCTTTGGGAATGCCCTAGTGAGGGTGGGAGTATGTGGGATTGCAAGTTTAAATGGGATAAGCAGAAAAGGCCTCATTGAGAAAGTGTCACTTGAGCAGTAACTTAAAGAGGTGAGACTATGAGCCATTAATACCTGGAGGGGGAGCATCCCACGCAGAGGAAATGGCTAGTGTGAAGGCCATGAGGTGGAATGGGCCTGGAAGTTTGGCTGGTGTGGCTAAAGCAGTGTGAGTGAGTGGGGGGTGTGGTAGAGGAGATAAGAGCAGTAACAGGGAAGGAAAGACACTTAGGGCCCTGCAGGCTATTGCAAAAACTTTGGCTTTTACTCTTAGTGAGAAAAGGAGAGCCATCATAGGGATTTGAGCAGAGGGGGAATATGATAGGACTTACTTTAATATTCATTTGGCTGCGCCGGGTCTCCGTCAAGGCTGTGGGGTCTTTAGTTGTGGCATCCGGGGTCTTTTATTTTATTTTTTTTTTTCGGGGTCTTTTATTTGTGGCACGTGGAATCTAGCTCCCCTACCCGGAATTGAACCCAGGTCCCCTGCGTTGGTAATGTGGAATCTTAGCTACTGGAGTCCAGGGAAGTCCCTAATGTGACGTACTTTAAACCAGAGCACTTTGCTTGTTAAGAATACGCAGCAGAGGAGTGAGAGCGCAAGCAGGTTAAGCAGCAACAATCCTGATGATAAATGGTGGTGGCTCAGACCAAGACGGTGGCAGTGGGAAGGAGTGATCAGATTTTAGGTATTCTGAAGTTAAAGCAAATAAGGTTTCTTGATTGATTGTGGACAAAAAAGAGAGGGAGTTAAGGGTGATCCCAAAGTTGTTGGCCGGAGCACTTGGAAGGATGAAATTGCGTCAACTGAGATGGAAGGTAGAGCACCTTTGGAGCGGGGAATAGTAGGAGTCCACCTTGAATATGTTAACTGGAGATGTCTGTGGTGAGTTCAGGTTGAGTACACAGTTGGTTGCTTCCATAGCGTTGGGAGAAGAGGTTTGGGGTGGAGAGTTTTCAGCACCTGTAGGATACCTGAAAGCAGCGAGACAGGATGAGAATCACCATGGAGTGAGTTATTGATGAAGAAGTGGTCCAAGGACTTGAGCCCTCAGGCATCTTAGAAAGTCTGGGAGGAGAAGTAGCAGCAAATGCAGCCAAGGAGTGACTAGTGAAGTAGATGCAAAATTAGAAGTGCCCTGGAAGGCCAGTGGAGAAAGTGCAGAAGGAAGGAATGACTTACTGAGTCAGATGCTGCTGATCCGTGAGGTAAGAAGAGGTCTGAGAAGTGACCATTGGATTTAGCTGCCTGAGCCCACTGGTGATCCTGACAAGCAGTTTCAGCGCAGTGGTGGGTGGAAGCCTGGATGGAGTGAGTTTAGGTCACAGCGGTCCTCAACCTTTTTGGCACGAGGGACTGGCTTCGTGGAAGATAATTTTTCCATGGACCCAGTGTAGGTGGGGGGAGGGGGGAGTGGTTTCAGGATTTTTCATATGCATTTCATTGATTATGCTGCCATTGATCTCACAGGAGGCGGAGCTCTGGGAGTAATGGGAGCAATGAAGAGCAGTATAAATACAGACGAAGCTTTGGCCCGCCCACCACTGCTCACCTGATATGTGGCTGGGTTCCTAGCAGGCCACAGACCTGCTGTGTGGCCCAGGGGCTGAGGACCCCTGGTTTAAGAGATTAAGAAGCTCAGAACTGGAGACAGCAAGAATAGGTGACTCTTTTAAATCCTGATTTAAGGTGAACAGAAATAGAGCAAGAGCTCGAGAGGGCCATGGATCAAAAGAGTTGATTCTTAGCTGCATAAGAACAAACAGCATAAAAATGACTCAGAAAATTTGATGATGTCAGAGAAAGTGGGAAGAACTGAGAAAGTCAAGAGAACTGCTGAAGCAGTGTTGCTGAGTGGGCTTGGGATTGGGTTGACAAGCCTTGGATAGAAGCACAGACAGTTAATCCATTGTAATGTGATTCATTGATGTGCTTACAGAGGAAGCATAGAGTGAGTGCTCACTTGGGTAAAGGAAGACTTGGCTTAATCTTGAAAAGTGTTTGTCAGGAGGACAGAAGTGGACAAGCTAAAGTGCTTTTCATACAGGAAGAAACATGAGCAAAGTCAGAGAGGTATTAATATACTTTTCAGGGCACTGCAAGCAGTTTTTTGTTTGGCTGGAGTGCTGAGCATATGCTTGTTGGAGGAGAATAATGTCATGGTAGACATTACAGAAGAGCCAAGACAGGAGATAGACAGGGTCTGCTTAGAATGTGCAGGACATCATTTCTCCATTAAGAGGCAGCAGAGAGCAACAGAAGGAAGGTAGTATCAGTATCTGGCATCAAATGCATTACCCAGGTACATGTAAGAGCAGGGCAGTGTAGAGTGTGTGCATGCTAGGTCACTTCAGTCATGTCCAACTCTGTGCAACCCCATAGGTGGCAGCCCACCAGGCTCCTCTGTCCCTGGGATTCTCCAGGCAAGAATACCAGAGTGGGTTGCCATTTCCTTCTCCAATGCATGCATGCATGCTAAGTCGCTTCAGTCGTGTCCAACTCTGTGCAACCCTATGGACAGCAGCCCACCAGGCTCCTCTGTCCACAGGATTCTCTAGGCAAGAATATTGGAGTGGGTTGCCATTTCCTTCTCCAATAGAGTGTATAGATATAGATAGGTAGATAAATACATATATATAGATATACAGTAACATAACGATTAATGTTTTATGAGCTCTGGTATCTACATTGGATTATCTCTGTTGATCCTTGTACATTTCTTTGAGGTAGTTCTTATTGACCCCATTTTGGGTTTCTGTAGATTAGGGACTTGACCAAGTGTGCACAGCTAATGTTAGAGCTTGAATTTGAACCCATAGCCCACCCTGATGACTACATTGTATTCCTGACCGACATGCCTCAGCTAGAATCAGGAGTCTGGGGTTTGAGTCCCAGTTTTCTTCCCCTGTGTAGCTATTTAGCTTTGGGCCAGCCATGTCTCCAAGCATGTATATTTCTAGTTTTTTTGGATATATACCTAAGAGTATATAAGCATAGAATTCCTAGATCATGTGGTAATCTGGTGTTTAACTTTTTGAGGAACTGAGAAACTTTTTCCACAGTGAACTCAGCATTTTACATCTCCATCAGCAATGTATGTTAGCTCTAGTGCCTTGAAATCCTCACCAAAATTTATTATTTTTCTTTTTATAATAGCCATAATAATGGTTGTGAAGTTGTTTCTCTTTGTGGTTTTGATTTGCATTTCCCTTTTGACTAATGGTGTTGAGCATCTTTTCAAGTACTCATTGGCCATTTGCATGTCTTCTTTGAGAAATGTTCAAGCCCTATGCCCCTTTTTATTTTTTTTTATTTTTACTTAAAAAAAAATTTATTTATTTATTTTACTTTACAACATTGTATTGGTTTTGCCATACATTGACTTGAATCCGCCATGGGTGTACATGTGTTCCCCATCCTGAACCCCCCTCCCACCTCCCTCCCCATCCCATCCCTCTGGGTCATCCCAGGGCACCAGCCCTGAGCATTCTGTATCATGTATCAGACCTGGACTGGCGATTCGTTTCACATATGATAGTTTATATGTTTCAATGCCTTTCTCCCATATCATCCCGCCCTCGCCCTCTCCCACAGAGTCCAAAAGACTGTTCAATACATCTGTGTCTCTATTGCTGTCTCACATACAGGGTTATTGTTACCATCTTTCTAAGTTCCATATATATGCATTAGTATACTTTATTGGTATTTTTCTTTCTGACTTACTTCACTCTGTATAATAGTCTCCAGTTTCATCCGCCTCACTAGAACTGATTCAAATGTATTCTTTTTAATGGCTGAGTAATATTCCATTGTGTCTGTGTACCATAGCTTTCTTACCCATTCGTCTGCTGATGGACATCTAGGTTGCTTCCATGTCCTGGCTATTGTAAACAGTGCTGCGATGAACATTGGGGTACACGTGTCTCTTTCAATTCTGGTTTCCTCAGTGTGTATGCCCAGCAGCAGGATTGCTGGGTCATATTATGCCCCTTTTTAAATTGTGTTTGTTGCTTGTTTGTTCGTGGGTTGGAAGAGTTCCTTATGTTCTAGACACGACACCCTTATTAGATGTATGATTTGCAGATATGTCCTCCTGTTTATGGGGTTTTATTTTTCTTTGGCCACACTCCATGGCACACAGAACTTCCCTAACCAAGGATTGAACCCATGGCCCCTGAAGTGGAAGTGCAGTGCCTTAACCACTGGACCACTAGGGAACCCCCTTTAATCCATTTTTAGTTATTTTTTTATCCAAATTCAGTATCTTGCATGTAGATATTCAGTTGTCCAAACACCAGATGTTGAAGAGTCTATACTTTCCCTTTTGAAAGGTCTTTCACTTGTATTGACAATCAGTTGACTATTTCTGGACTCTGTTCATTCCAAGGGTCTGTTTGTCTATTTTGTGTTTCTACCACTGTTTTGATTACCATAGCTTTGCAGTAAGCTTTGAACTTAGGAAGTGTGAATCCTCCCCAAATTCCTTTGTTAATCCTGAAGATTATTTTGGCTATTTGAGGTCCTCTGCAGTCCAGCTTTAGGATCAGCTTGTCAGGTCCTGAAATTCTGACTGAGTCTGTCAACAAGAACAGGAAGGCTGGCTTTTGTTCCTGCTGTGGTTTTTCTAGCCCAGGGTTCTATACCCAAGTGCTGAGTAGCTTAACGGACAACTATTATTTCTCTCGTTTCGTCTTACAGGTGAACAACTTTGTGATCTTCGAAGGCTTCTTTGCCCATCAGCATCGTAAGTTTTCTCACCTGTGTGTTGGTCAAGCAGTTGGGGTGAGGGGAAGGAAAGAGGTGAATTCTTGGTCCCCCCGGCCCCCTCACTGAGGGGCACCACCGCTTCCTTCCTCACAGGGCCCCCTGCTACCTCTCTGAGGGCAACTCGACACTTGCGTGCTGCTGCGCTCGATCCTATGCCCGCTGGTAAAGCTGCATTGGATGGGTGGATCTGTAGTGCTCTCATGGCTAGTCACTCTGGAGGCCACCAGGAGCTCAGTGTCTGATCTGTGGGCAATTTGAGAGAATCCTAAAGCAACCCAAGTCTCCAGCAGACATTACCCATGGGAACTCAGTGTATTTTATACCTGGCAAGACTTTTAACTAAGCAAGCTCACTGGGAGCCTGTTTGACCATAGACATTGATGGAGCCTCTTGCTGCTGCAGACCCATCAAAATAGGCCAGAGTCATGTTCCTCCCTAAACCCCTCAGGCTCTGACAGCCAGTGAGCTGCAGGCAAGTGCAGTTTCCCCTTCCGCTTCCAGTCATAGAATAGTGACATGAATGGTCCAAAGCTTAAATATTAGTTTTTGAAGATAACACTCAGAATTTGTAACACTTCCAACCAAATAATGGAGAAACCTAGCCTAGGAGGTACTGAAATGTGGCCCAGGTTCCTCATTCCATCCCCATCCCCACACATGCTCCCTGCCAGGCTGAGTCCTACCCTTTCTTCCTTCTCAAGGCAGAGGGGTGCAGCCTTCTGCTGCCTGTGCAGTGCACACCTGCACAGAAGGGCCCTCTTTCTGAAGGAGCTGCTCTGTGGCTAGTGGTTACCTCCTCTGTGGCCGGGAAACAAGAGTGTCACCAGTGACTAGCATCTGCCGGTATCAGGGATGGAGGGGCAGTTCATATCTGTGACTGGCTTTGATTTCCAAGACGTCCCCTCCGTCTGGCTCCTACTGAGCAAAGGCTGTGAGAGGGAGAGAGCCAACAAGGACAGTGAAGACCAGGTCTACAGGGGAGGGGACCCTAAAACTGGATCCACTGGGCAGTCTCCTCTGCCACACATGATGGGGAAAGAACCTCTTGAGAGGGAAAGGGAGGGGCAAGTAGAGAAGAGAGGAGGTGGGCGGCTGAGCTTGGACAGTCTGTTAGCCTCCCGTTTATTTTCTCTGGTAGCTTCTTTCCAGATGTCTGTGTTTTTTCCTCATCCTTCCCCCACCCCGCCCCAATAAAATGTAAGTCTCTTCCTATCTTTGCCCTGGAAGGAGAGGTTCTGCCCCACCCCAACCTCCCCTAACCTCTCCACAGCAGTTCCTGATTAACCAAGGGCTTTGTCCATCTCATCTAGAGGGACCTGGGGTCCTCGTTGGCCCGGCTGGGACCATTCCTCTGCCCCTGAATCCCAGGGGGGCCTGACAGCGCCCACTGACAGTAAGAGCTTGCCTCCCTTGGCCACCCTTCTCCTGTACCTCCCAGGCCCCAGAGTCTCCCCCGGATCTTTCCCCCAACTCTGCATTCGGCCTCCTCCTTCTGGCTCTCCTCAAAATGCTCCAGCCTTGCCCCCGAATTCCCTTCTGGTGTGATGGCACTGCCACAGAGCTTCTTCCACGGCGGAGCTGACGCCTCCTTGCCCAGGAGGAAATGTGGTGTCGGGGACCAGAGGTTTGGGGTCGCGGGGGTAGTGGCCGGGAGGAGGGCGCACGTGTGCACCTCACTGACCTCACCTGTGTCCTCTCCACTCCCAGCTCCAGCAAGGAAGCTGCCCCCCAAGCGAGCAGAGGGAGAGATAAAACCGTACTCCTCTAGTGACCGAGAGTGTAAGACTGGGCTGGGGGGCTGGGCCTGGGGGGCCTCAACCCAGGGGAACGATTTGTTCTCTCTTAAGGCTCTGACTTCTCTTTTTCCTTCCCTGGTCTTTGCTCTCACGACTCCCTTCCCTGTCCTTTTCCTTCTTTCTCCGTCTTGCTCTGTTTTCTCCTTCCCCCCCAGTTCTGAAGGTAGCTGTGGAGCCTCCGTGGCCCCTGAACAGGGCCCCTCGCCGTGCGACTCCTCCAGCCCACCCACCCCCTCGCTCCAGCAGCCTGGGAAATTCACCAGAACGGGGCCCCCTCCGCCCCTTTGTGCCGGAGCAGGAGCTGCTGCGTTCCCTGCGCCTGTGCCCCCCACACCCCACCGCCCGCCTTCTGCTTGCTACCGACCCTGGGGGCAGCCCTGCCCAGCGGCGCCGCACCAGGTAACAGGAGCTGGAGGGTTAGGGAGCCTCAGAACTCTCAGACAGGGCAGTTAGGAATGGCAGAGGGCAGTGTAAATCAGACATGAAGCAACAGGACAGGAGGATTGGAGACTCCTGAGACGTTTTGAGAATATACTGGAAGATGTGTGTGGAAGCGGTCTGGAAATAAATTACAGTGAAGGAGCAGAATAGGACTTAGGGGGAGCCTAGGGACGCTAATGCCTAGAGGAAGGTTAGGAAGAACGCAGACCCACTGGTGGCAGGGGGCAGGTTGGGAAATCGTGGTTTAACACTTGCTGGGAGGGGGCAGGATCTCTGACACAGCCTGGGGAGCCACCGGCCCCAGCTCAGTGCCTTGTGTGGCGGGAGCCCACCCCGGCAGGCAGGGACTGGGCCTCTCTTTTATTTCTCTCTCCAGCTTTCTCTTCACCTCTGACTTCTCTTTCTGTTTTTCTCTCCCCTCCATTTTCCCTCTCCCCCTCTCCTGTCCATAACATCCTTCCCCAGTTCCCTTCCCCGCTCTGATGACAGTCGATACTGACAGACTGCTGACCCCCTCCCCTCCCTGGGAGACCTGGCGCGGGTGAAGACCCTTCTCCCTGAGAACCCCAGACCCAATCTCCCATTGCATCCCCCAGCATCTAGGGGAACTTGACAAGAACCCGTAGGATTCCCTTTACCCCTTTCTTGGACAACTGGGTGGTCAGGGTCCCAGGTGGCCTAACACTTCATAGCTTTTCTTACCATAGAAAGCAGCCCTTCTCTCCTAACTTGGGCTCTGAACACTCCCACAGACAGCCTGATTTGCTGCCAGGCCTCTTGGTTGGGCAGCTCATACTAATTATCCAGAGAAGCACACTCTTGCTTGCTGTCAGATTCTAGAACATCATGGAAGGTCCAAAGGCCTCCTCTGCCAGGAAAACCTTTTTAAGAGAGTCTTATCCATGGAATAACTCCTATAGTCCCTCTGCACTGTCTCCTGGTAGCTCTAATACTGCTGTGTGCTACCGGCTGCAGCTACCCTATCAGCCTGCTGACGCCAGCCACTGAACGAACTCTGCTTCATAGCAGTCCAGTCAGGTAGGACAGGGACTTACCAGCTCCCCATGGGATCCACTCAACATTGCCAAACTCTTAATCTCCACATGTTTTGTGTGTGTGTTAATCTGTCAGGGGACCCCCGAGCTGACTTCTGCTGTGGGACTCTAGACTCACCACGCTTCTATAGACACTACCACCTCCGCTAGGTCCAGGATCTCTGAAGGAGTCTGTTTCTTGGCAGTAGATCCCAGCAAACACCCTAGGATCACTCAGCCAAGTTTCAGAAGCTAAGCCTGAGTCTCAAGGCTCTATTAGCTCCTGGAATACCCTCTCACATCCATCCCTCCCCAGTAGCTAGATATGCTGATAGATTCCTGTCTTGTGAGATTGTCTTGATGATGATGGGGGAACTCTTCCTCTGGCCTCCCCTCTCTTCTTTCCTCCATAGCAAGAATCCTCCCCTGCTCCATACCCAGGCTAAAGAACATCCTTTCCCTCCTTACCCTCTGGATGTGTACTAGTTCAGGTACCCCTACTGTGTTCCCCCAAATCCTTGGGAGCAGGATCTCCCTCTTTTTCTGACTCACTCCTCCTTTTTCTTCTCCCTCTCAGTGTTGTCTGAATAAAGTGTGAACTCTTTTGTGTTTTTTAAATGGACATTTTCAATGAAAAAAAAAAAACAAAAACCCAAACAAACCTTAAGGTCTCAGCCTCGTTTGTGCGTCACCCTGTATTTTCCTGGGCTCTCAGGACCTCTGGCCCTCTTCCTCACCTCTGAGATCTGCAGATCTTCCAGCAAGGAGGCTTAGAGCGCCCCTCGCAGGATCTGGTGTCTGCCTGTCCCCATCTTCACTGCTGGATTTTCTCCTGCAGATTCTGTTTCCTCTAATGTAGTCACTGGATCCCTCCATGTAGGCTTCTGTATCTATTCCTCCATTCTCTCCAGAAACCTCTAGCTCTCTAGTAACTCCTACCATTTACCCCAGGCCAGCCCTTGCTGAGATGTTAAGATTTACTAACATCTCGAGGAGCCAATTAATTGCCTTCCGATAACAATCCCCTAATTGTTTCTTGGATTATTCTTCTCTAAACCCTTGGATCTCTTTCTCAAGACAATCCTTTTCCTAAATTCAGCCTTGCCACTCCCTCTTCCCCTCTGGCTAAGGTATCCTATAATTAAGGTAACTGTGTTTTTCCAACTCAAAACATGAGAGCACCTGGTTCAGCAAAATTTTTTTGCCTTTCTGTGAATCCATTTTTTGTTTTTGGCTGCACTGCGTAGCTTGTGGGATCTTAATGTCCCAACCAGGAATGGAACCTGTGCCCCCCGCAGGGGAAGCACAGAGTCCTAACCACTAGACCACCAGGGAATTACCCTGAATCTTTTTATAACATGATTTCGATCACATTTAACCTTACGCTTAACACATTGCCTCAACTAGAAATAACAAAGCAGCAAATCAGGACTGCTCCAGAAAACCTTGGGGTGTAAAATGATCTCCCTTCCCTTTTCTGGGCACACAGAGGAATGATAACTACCCCCTCTGTTCCTGTGTTCTTTTATTCTTCTCCCCTGATTCCTCCATACCCACTCATCTTTCATCCTGTAGCCTCTTCCCCATCATTTCACATTTCTTCTACAGCAGGACTCCCCCAGGGCTGGTAGCCCAAAGCTGCAGCTATAGCCGCCATGGGCGGTTGAATGCCTCAGGTCCCAATACAGGTAAGTTACTCATCTCCTTACCCTCAAATCAAGTAGGCCATATTCACTACCTACTCCAGCCTTCCCATATACATGCCTGGTATTTCCACAGGCAACCAAGAACTGAAGCAGGGGGAACAGGAAACAGAAAATAGGTGAGGTCTGAGCCCCTCCCCTGCCAGCCTCTCAACACCTCTGACCCCTTTTCTAACATCACTCTCAGCTACTACCTCCTCCTAAATCTCACTCTCTGAACTGGACACCAGCTCCTCTCACAGAGCCTTCCATCTAACATCCTACAAGCCTCTTTCCCCATAGGTTCAGCTCTGGTGCTTCCCTTTGGCACCAGTCCACTCTGTGGGTTTCAGGTTTGGACATAGCACCAGTGGTTCCAGCCTCATACCCCATCATTTGTCCTCTCCACAAGAGCCTCACAGACCTTGAAGAAGCTGTGATCTTAATCCTCACTTTAGTACCCGTGTAACCCACTCTCCATCTCCCTCCCACCTACTAGGTGTGCCATTGAGGAGCAGGTCTTCTCACAGCATGGGTCTGGGGAGGAACCCATGCACACAGTTACTCCACAGGCCCAGGTTCCACCAGCTCAGTCTTGGACAATAGGTGGGGACCTGTTCAACGCCAGGTTCATTCGAAACTTGCATGAACGTCGCAGCACCAGGCCTTGGTGACCGCAGCCCCCTCTCACACCTTCAAAATCATTATTCCTATCTTACACAGGACCTAGTCAAAGCTTGCCCTCACCGTGGATGTATTCATTAATTCATTTATTCATTCTACAGGCTTTTTTTTTTTTTACCAGTGCCAAGTCATTTGTATCTTATTTTTAACCAGAGCAATAAAGTATTTTTTACCACGAGCGTTACTGAGAACTGCGGATGTCATTATTTCAGTCCCACTCCTCACCCATCAGCGCCCACTTTTGCGCAAGCGTACAGGTGAGAGCCCTGCTCTAGGCCGCTAATTTACTGCGCAAGCGCCCTGAGGCTGCCTCCGATTCGGCGAGCGCAGGCGCACTTACTGTAGACCTAGTGCCTCACCGCCTCCCTGGAACCCGCCGCAGTGCGCAAGCGCGCAACATCTCCGTTTCCCTCCCCTCAGCCCCTCACCCCCCCCCTCCTTTCCCCTTCAAGAAGCCGGCTCCGGGGCGCGCTCACCCCTGTGAGGAGGCCGGAGGCCGGACACAGGAGGCGCTCTCTCCATTCCCGGAAGATCATGTACCAGCCCAGCCGGGGGGCGGCCCGGCGTCTCGGCCCCTGCCTCCGCGCCTATCAGGCTCGTCCCCAGGTGAGAGCCGAGGGGAAGCGGGAGGGGAGGGGAGGGGGCGGGGAGAGACCCTCCTCAGTCGGCGCGTGGGGCGGAGCGCGCGTTCCGTTTCGCGCAGGCGTACTGACGTCCCACCGCTGCTTCCCACCTGTGCGGAGCAGCGCGTGGAGGGGCGAGGGGTCTCAGGGACCGGAGGGCGGCGCTGCCAGCCTGCTGTCGCGCACGAGACGTCTGTCTTCCGGATCTTGGGGGGCAGGCGGGATTGAGGCTGGCGCGGTGGGGTGCGTCCGCATTTCTCCCGCGTCTTCGCGGTTACCTGTGCCTGGAGGTGATTTGAAGGACAGAGGGCGGAGAGGTTCGCGGCGCCTCCAGGGATCCGACCAGACGGACCTGCGGGCCGCGCTCTGCAGCCCACGCGTCTTGCACCGGGATAGCTCTCCCGGCGGGAAGGCTGGCCCGAGTGGACCCGGTTCGGGCCCTTGTGCCCGGGCGGGCAAGATGGCCACGCCCCCGGCGGAGACGGCGCCTCCGGGACACCGTCGGGGACAGAGGTACCCGCGCGGCCTGCCCGCCTTCCCGGATAATGAGACCTCTCGGGGTGCTCCTTGAAAACGCAGGAGCTCGAGTCAGGCCTGACTTTGAGTGACCTCTGCCTCATCGCAGTTTCAACATCAGTAAACCAGGGGCATCATGAGGTCCATCCAGCCTTTAACAGTCTCCTGGGCTTTTTCGTGTCATTAGAGGATCCCAAGTGATGAGCTTACATTTATATACTACTTTACGGGTCTCAAAGTTTTATTAACATTTATTATCTCATAAAGTCCTCATTGTGACTCAGTGTGGCTTCATCGTCCTTATTTATAGGACATTTATGGGAAACTCAGGCTGAGGGAATTAGAATGCCTTATGTTACATTATAGAATTGGAACTCCAAAGTCTCCTAGTTCCAGTTGGATGTTCTTTTTTCTGCCACAGCTGCCTCACACACTCCTGGAGTTGTGTTAAGAGGCCGCATCATTTCATCCACAATATAAGGAGCCCTGTTTGGTATTCATTCATTTGTTCATTCTTAAGTATGCACTCTTGTGATTCTTGCTGTTAGAGACAGACCTGCCCCCAAACAGGTTTGGAATCTTAAATCTAAACGTATTTGCTATTTTGGGTAGATATTTGTACTTAAGTCACAAGAAAGTATATCCTCCTGTTTTAACCAGAGATGGAGATGAATTTTTCCTCTAGTAATTTGATCTTTCCTGTCAGAAGGAGCTGGTGAATTGGAAGCATGTTAATGGGCAGAGTTTGGATGGAGGGGCATTAGGCAGCTGGATTCTTATTTTTTTTCTCTTTTGTTCTTCCTCCTTAGGACCAGTCTTCTCCATGGGCTCTACCATTCCCACCCCTTTGGCCTCACTCCACAACAACCACTTCTCCATCTTTGCCTCTTTTCTGGTCTCCCCCACCCCCAAGCCCTCCCACCCGACTGCTTCCCCCAGCTCCCCCACTACCTCTCCCTCAGGTCCAAGCCCTCACCTCACCATGGGTGGTTCTCCCCCCAGGAAAGGGGGAGGAGGGACCAGGACCTGAGTTACATAGCGGTTGCCTGGATGGGCTCAGGAGCCTGTTTGAGGGACCTCCCTGCCCCTGTCCTGGAGCTCTGATACCTTTCCAAGCCCCTGGAACCGCCCACCCTTCCCCTGCCACTCCGTCAGGAGATCCAAGTATGGAGGAGCACCTGGCTGTCATGTATGAGAGACTGAGACAAGAGGTAAGTCCATGCAAAAGCGGCCTTTGTCCAAAATGGGGAGAGATGTAGGTAATTCTTAAAAATAGGAAGTCAGTCAGTCAACTGGATTCTTTCTTGGAACCATGAGACAGCCTTCGAAATAGGTTCCAAACATTTCCCAAGGAAAAGATACTCCTCGGTTTGAATTAGGGATGAGATAACCTTTCACTCAGGAATAAGGAGACACTCAATATAGAAAACTGAGAAGTGGGATCATCTTTTCTTTCCTCCTGGTCTCATGCCTTCTTCTTCCACCTAGCTTCCCAATCTCTTCCTTCACTCCCACGACTACACTCTCTACTCATCGGATGTGGAATTCATCAATGAGATCCTGAACATGCGTACCAAGTGAGAATCCATTGAACGGGTAGGGCCTTGGGCAGGAAAAGGACCCAGTGCTATTTTCACTTGTTAGAGAAGGTCCTAAGTTGCTTCTCACCACCATCCCCAGTTCCTCTGTCAGAGAATAGTTTGGTTTTCTGATTGTGCTGTAATGAGATTTCTTCCCCATCTCTTCCTCTCAGAGGCCGGACATGGTACATTCTGTCACTGACTCTCTGCCGCTTCCTGGCTTGGAACTATTTTGCACAGCTTCGGCTGGAAATTCTGCAGCTGACACGCCACCCTGAGAATTGGACCTTGCAAGCCCGCTGGCGGCTTGTGGGACTGCCCATCCACCTGCTCTTTCTTCGTTTTTATAAGCGTGACAAGGAGGAGCTTTACCGGTAAGAGAAGTAAGAAACACACTACAACTTTCTAATCTTACCCTTTTGGGAGTCTGTAGTCTAGTCTCCTAGACAATCCTCCATCCTGACTTGACTGGAGGCTCCTTGAAGGCAGGCTTTGTTTTAGTCTACTTTAATATAGGAAAAATAGGGGCTTTGAGTATATTAGGAAGCTTCTGAATTCAGTTTCTTCATGTACATTACCTGGCACATAGTAGAGACTCATATACCTAACAGATGAAAATACCTGTCTCTTTAAGTTGTGCTTCACAGCCTTGGGTAAAGAAAGTACTTGCTAAATTTCTGGCACAGAGTAGAATCCCAAGAAATTCTTAGGCTAAGCCCACACTGGTAGTTCCTAAACTGCTGCACAGTGGATTCTTGGATTTTTTTAATCCAAGAATCTTTTTTAAAATATTGGTGCCAGACATCCTGATTTAATTGGGCCCAGGGTACAACTCAGGATTTTTAAAAGATCCTCGGGTGATCTAACACATAGCAAAGGTTAAGAACTACTAGTTTAAATAAATGCTTGAATTAAAACTTTGGGACCAATCACCCTCTCTCTCAGTGAGCCTCTTTCTCCCTTCACCAGGACCTATGATGCCTATTCCACCTTCTACCTGAATTCCAACGGCCTCATTTGTCGCCATCGCCTAGACAAAGTGAGTGCTAGGGCAGCGGGGGGCAGGTGGTGGTGTGGGGTGACAGAGTAGAACATCACACCAGCTACATTAACCTTTCTCGCTTTAGCTGATGCCTTCACATTCACCCCCCGCACCTGTGAAGAAGCTGTTAGTGGGAGCCCTGGTGGCTCTGGGGCTATCGGAACCAGAACCCAACTTACACCTGTGTTCCGAGGACTGATCAGGAACTGGGGCAGAGGCAGCACTGAAGACTTTGCTACGCACAAAGAGAGGCGGTGGAGGCGGCTGAGAGCCTCAGAGCCAGTTACCTCCCCTCTTCACTCTACCCCTCTACTTTCCATCTCATGCTATGTAAAGCTGCTGTGTAATTTAACTTGTAAATAATAAAATCTACATGAATATATGAGATCCAATTTCCATGTCACTCTTTTCTGAACCTCAAAAGTTCCCCATGGAATTTCCCTGGTGGTCCAGGGGTTAGGACTCCGCACTTTTCACTGCTGAGGGCAAGGGTTCAATCCCTGGTCAGGGAACTAAGATCCCACAAGCCGAGTGGCAAAAAAAAAAAGTTCCCCATAGCTTTACTCTAAAAATATTTTTATTAATAGATATTAAATAAGGTACAGAAGGAAAAGGAGCTGGTGTTAGGTTCTGATTGTTATGTCCCCTGCTCTTCACCCTAGCTCTTCCCGTGTCTTGCCTATTTTTTTGGGCATTTTCTTAGCATGGGGATCTTCTAGCTCCTTAGCCTTGTAATAGTGGGGTGCCACTTCGAGAAGCCAACTGCTCTCAATCTCCAGTACCTGCAGGAGGAGAGAAAAAAAATCAGCAAGATTCTCTTTTGTCCAACCTAGATTCTGAGATGTGTGTGATTTTTAAAAAGCTTCTCTTCTTTCCCCTTTGACTGCATGGCAAGGGAAATGGGTATCTGACTCTAATACTCTAGACCCCAACACTCTGTTATATGTTGTTCAAGAGCACAAGTAAGCTAACCCTAAACAAAAGCCTGAACCTAGACTAAAATACACTCAGGACAAAGGCCACACCTGCTTTGTTTACCATTATCACTGCAGCCCCTGAAGCACTGAGACAATGCATTCAGCACTTGGTGAATGAACAGTTAGATCTTGGTGGATGCTGAGACAGCTGTTAGAATGGATGCCCTTCTATCTTATCCTACCTTAAATCAAGTTGCTTTCCTCTTTCTCTGCCAGTCCCAGCAACCTGAACCTGGGTTTTTCGCATGCCAGAATACCATCTCCCACACAATCCACCTGCCTGGGCAGGCCAAGGTGCCCTCACCTGTCTCATGAACTCTTTGGTGGTCAAGACAAGTTCATGGTAGAGCAGCCAGCGTGGCTGTTCCTCAAAGAGGGAAGAATTGGGATGAATGAACACCGTCTGCTGCTGTTTCACTGTGCGGTAGCCGCTGCGAGTCAACCGTGCTGTGTGGTAGAAGTAGCCAGCAGTGATGGCCTGGAAGCAGGCAGGAAAGGAAGTCAGTGGGAACGGCTGGCATCCAGGGACCCTTGGCACACACTACCTTTTTAGTGCAGGCTTTGGGAGAACTAGAGGAAGGTAAAGACCTCGAGTGCCCCAGGAAGAAAGCACAAGGGGAACCCACCTTCCACAGGGAAAGGGGCATGTTCGCAGGTTGCTGGCCCCAGACAAGCTTGCTCCTCAGGAGATAATGGGTGGACAGCAGGAGACTAGACTAAGGAAATGCTGACCTTTCGGACACGGATGTAGTCCCCTTGGCAGGAACTGAGACCAACTTCCACACGTTCCAAGAGCCCCTCCAGCTGCTCCCGCACATCCCGGGCTCGGCGCATGGATCTGAACTGAACAAAGTTCTCATAACACCACTGGGAAGAGTAACCACTCTCAGCCCACTATGAAGCGAGAGGGAGGGAAAAAGGGGGTGTTAAGTTTATACAGCAGAACCAGAGTCCCCTGTGCCCTCCTCATTCCCATTTACCCAAACCCAGGGACCTGTGTGTAAACATTCAGCAGAACCAGGTGGTCCCCACCAGGGAGGAAGAAGTTGACCCGAGCGTTGTCAGCATGGACGACCTTGTCCTTAGGTCGGTAGAAAATGGAGTTGTTGACGGAGAGCATGGCAGCCACTGTCAGGATCTCCTCTGAACAGCTGTACCTGGGGCAGGAAGGGAGAAACACGAGAGCTCAAAGCAAGACACAGAGGAACAGACACGGTGAAGAGGAAAGGGACTGCGGCGTGATGGATGTCCTCACGTGGGGGCTGCAGGCTGGGCTGACGGCTACAAATCAGAGAGTAGACTGCTTTTGGTGGCAGGGGCAGCAGGATGGGGGTCCAGGAGGTGAGGTCAGGTTGTAGATAAAACAGGAAACGTGCAGGGAGGCAGGGGCAGGAAAACGTCATGAGGGTTCTGCAGTAAGAAGGTGTGCATTATAGCAGTTCCTTTAAGTTCATGTAACGACCTTTAACTTCAACTACAGCCAAGGGATGGCATTAAAATGTGATCCCCCAACAGCTGCATCTAAATGCTCTAGTCTGAAATCGTAGGAGATAGTAAGCCTCCAAGCCAGCCCTCCCTCAGCACTCCTCACAAGTAAAAAGTCTTCCACTTTTGTTCATGCCCCCAAATTTTCTACATTCTTGGCTATCTCATCCATTTGATATCATAACCAAAGACAGGACGGTGTCTTACTGACCACTGTGGACCTCAAAAGGGCAATAAGAGTTATCCAACAACTTGCTATTGGTTAAAGAATAATGTGGTGGGGAGAAAAAGGAAGCTCACAAAGATGGCCCCAGAGACAGAAGCAGGCATGGCCAGTGTGTGTGCCAGGGGCCCGGCCGAGCCAAGGACTTACTTTTCAGAGGCCAGGATCATTTTAGACAGCATGGGATCCACAGGCAGCTCTGCCATCTTTCGACCAGACTAAGCAGAGGAAAGAGAGTTGAGGCCACTCCTCCCTCAGGTGTCCCTCCGCCCCTCGAGGGGTCACCCCAGCCTTCCTCCCACCCCAGCCCACTGCCCTCCCACCTCACCGTGGTGAGCTCCCCAAGGTGGTTGAGGGCTCCTAGCGCATATAGCTGCTCCAGAGCCAGCAGCAAGGTCTCGTACGGCGGGGGGTCCAGGAAATCAAAGTGCATTAGGTCATGGATCCCTGGAGAAGGATGGGCGGAGTTAGGACAGAGTCCTTCGCGTGACCAGTGATGGCAGTCCCACCCTCCCCTCTCAGAGGACCGGGGAGCCCAGTCACCTAAGCTCTTGAGCAGCAACACGACATTGCCCAGGCTGGTCCTCTGAATCTCGGGCACCGTGGTTTCCTCCAGCTCGTGCTGGTAAGCCCAGGCAGTATACAGGCGGAAGCACTTCCCTGCAGCCACCCGACCCGCCCGGCCAGCTCGCTGATTGGCGGAGGCCTGGAAAGAAAGGACCGTTTGTCAAGCCCATTGACAGTCTGGTGATGGAAAAGAGAAAGGGTGGTATTTCTGCAAGAAATCTGGGGGGTGTGGGTGTGGACCGCTAACCCCCCTGCTCTGAGCCGTCCCCACTGCTTCTGAGCTGGCCTGTTCTCCCCCTCACCCCATGGAGACCCCTCTCCGGCCCAGGCCCACCTTGCTGCAGGGTGTGACAGTGAGCGATTCCATGCCCGTGCGGGGGTTGTAGCTCTTCTGCTTACAGAACCCTGGATCCAGCACGTAAATGATGCCCTCGATGGTGAGCGAGGTCTCGGCGATATTGGTTGCCACAACCACCTGAATGAAAGGATGTGGGGTTACCCAGAAGCTCCACCCACCTAGTTACACAGAAAAAGTGATTTCTGGAAGATAAGGAGTGGGCGAACAGGGACAAAGGAGCAGGAGCGATCTGTGGCCAAGGTCAAGAGGGGAACAGGCTAGCCGAGAGGGGAAAGAGACGTGGGGATAAGCAGGGCGTAACAAGGAAAGGAAGAGGGTTCAGGATTTTTTTCAGAGATGGGAGTTGAGGGTGTTAGGCTCTTGCCCCATCTTTCCCACGGTTGCTTTCATAATCACCTTCATATGTTAGGTCCTAAAATAAATCCCCTGATGAGTCTCACTGCTCTACTCCTGCCCCTGGTTACGCGGCATCCAGAATGGTCCTTTTAAAATGTGAGCCTCTTACATCATTCCCTGCATCCTTCAGTTGCTCCCATCCTACCTGACAATCACAGCCAAGCTCTTTTAGACCCCAAGTTCTCCAGCCCCTGGATACCCTTCCGATCTCATCTCTGAGTACCAGGGCTCCTCGCTCCACCCCTGCCCTCACACCCATCCTCCGCGTGCGCTATTCCCTCCACTTGGCGCACTCTTCTTCTGGGTCAGATGTCAGGCTGGCACCCTCCCGTGCCTGGCTGAGGCTCCAGCTTCACTCTCACCTCATCAGACAGGGGGTGTCCCTACACCCTAAGGAAAATACCTTCCTGTCATTCCTCCGCCCCACCACCTGCAACTCCCCTGGATGCACACTGTATCTCTTCAGATCCTTTGTCACAAATTGACATTATCTATTTATGTGTTATTTCCTAACCTCTGTTAGTCTAAACTCCCTGAGGCTAGAGACTTTGCTTAGTTCATCACTGTATCCTCATCCCTTAGAACACTTCCTGGAAAGTGGGAGGAGCTCTGTAAATATTTGTGGAAAGTTACATCTTTGCTCACAATCCTTTGATGACCACTCACTGGTCCAAAGTCTACACTCTTCCTCCTGCCATCAAAGGCTCTCTCTAACCGCCATCCCAAGTTGTTTTCAGTCGGTCTCCCCTTTGCCATGTGAGCCTTTCACTAAGCCTGCTAGATTACTGTGACCTCAAACACCCCTTAGGTCTTTCTCTGATACTCCCCCAGCATCTTCCTTAAAGGTCCAGTTCAAATCCTGCCTCCTGGCACACCCAGAGTCTCCCTTCTCATTGCATCTCTGCCACACTCACTTTCTGGACCATGCATTTGACTATCTCTCTGTCCCTGCCGTTGTCACCCTCTCACTCCAGCGCCAGCAGTGAGGGGCAGGCTGACTGCCACCCAGCCTCACAGCTGTGCCCAGGACACACCTTGCGCAGGGCATGCACATTCTTTCCTTTTCACTACTAATTGCGTGAACCACAGGGGATGATGAAAGTGGGCTTCTCCAACTGACCTTCCGTGCCCCCGGGGGCGTGGGCTGGAAGATCCGTGCCTGCATGTCGGAAGGCAGGTTGGCATAAATGGGC